TGCATACGAGAGAGTACACAAACCGAGGAGAGACGGCAGAAAAAAAAGACAGTCCCCCCTTCCCCTTCCTTTTACTCGTTCGGTATAAGAAAGGGTCATAATCGTACGTATGGCTTGGTGCGTTGAGTCAACATTAGAGAGAGAGGGAAGACTGTGGAGACGCAGACAGGGGACAGGTGGGTCTGCCCTCCTACCTGAAGAAGAAGCAGGGAAGATGGGGAATAGGAACAGCATGTTGCAGCGAGGGTGCCCCCCCCCAGGGGTGGGAGGGGGGGGGGTGCCCTCCAAGGGGGGGGGGAGGAACACCTAAGGAAGGTGTTTGGATAGTGTATAGCACATATTGAAGAGGGAGGGGGGAGGAAAAGGGGGTGGAGTTGGGGGTGCCATTTTAGTGGGTTTTGGGCTCAAAATTATGATTTTTGGGCCTAAAATTAAAGATTTTCAGGGCTGAAATTAGGAATTTTTGGGCTCAAAATTAAGGATTCTTAAGCCTAAAATTATGGATTTTTGAGCCTAAAATTAGGAATTTTCGGGCCTAAAATTAGAAATTTTAAGGCCTGAAAATAAGGGATTTTGAGCCTGAAATTAGGGATTTTTGAGCCTGAATTTTGAGATTTTGAGCCAAATTCAAGGTTTTTTGGGCCTGAAATTAGGGATTTTTGGGCCTAAAATTAGAGATCCTTAAGAAAAAAAAATTATGGATTTTTTAGCCTAAAATTAGGGATTCTTACAATGTTAAGCCTAAAATCAGGAATTTTGAGCCTAAAATCAAGGATTTTTGGGTCTAAAACCAAGGTTTTTGAGCCTAAAATTAGGGATTTTGGGCCTAAAATTAGGGATTTTGAGGCCTGAAATTAGAGATTTTTGAGCCTAATTCAAGATTTTTGGTACTGAAACCAGGGATTTTGAGCCTAAAAATAGAGTTTTTTGGCCTGAAATCAAGAGATTTTGGGCTTAAAATTAAGAGAATTTGGGCCTAAATTTGCGGTTTTCCGGCCTGAAATCTAGACCTTTTAAGCCGGAAATTGGGGATTTTTGTTCCTAATATTAGAAATTCTTAGGTGTGAAATTAGGGATTTATAGGCCTGAAGTAAAACCTAAAGGAGTGCCTCTTTATTGGAAAGGTGTATTTTTAGTGGATTTTGGGCCCGAAATTAAGGTTTTTGAGGGGAAAATTCAGGAATTTTGAGTCAAAAAACAACTTATTGTGGTTTCCACAACCAAGGTTGTTGGAAAAGTAATTCCGCAAAAAATCGGAAAATTTTTTTTTTCGAAAATTGCGGACCGAAAAAATCGAAAAATGATATTTCGGAATTATTCGGGATTTTTCGGTTTTTTTTTTTTCGAATCGTTTCTGTTTTTTTTTTCAGGACAAATGGATAAAAACATGGAAATATACAGCTAAAAAACCGTTTTCACCGAAATTTTTTTTCGATTTTTTTTTTGGCGAAAAAAAGTTTTTTGGTTTCAAATGGCGAATAAATTTTCGGAAAATGACCAAAAAAACCGAAAAAATTAAATTTTTCAAAAATTTTTTGCACAGCCCTGGTCTGGAAACAGGGATTTAGAACCTAAAAGGGTGCCCTAAGGTAAGGTGCAATTTTAGTGAACTTTGGGCTCAAAAGTGACGTTTTCTAAGACAAATTTTATGAAAATTGACCCGGAAAACAACTTATTCTGGCCTCCACAACCCCATTAAAGGTTCCGCCCCTTCTCTCAGAATACTGTAACTACCGTAATCCTACAGTAATCTTCACCATTTTTTGGTTGCGTACTATTGAGGTCCCGTAGATACAAGATGCAAAAAATGGAGTTCATCCGGAACACATTTTCGGAAAATGGGAGTTAGTGTAGCTACCGTAATCCTACAGTAATCCAATCCCTGATGAACTCATGCCAAATATGGTATTCGGTGATAAGTGCTGGACTAACAGACGCACAGACAGACAGACAGAGCTTGCTGCTAAGTAATAGAAGAAAAAAGAACTGGGATCAAGTTTATTTTAGTTTTTTAAAAATATACATTTCAGATATGAGAGAAAAAAAGAAAAAATTAAAAAATTAAAAATTCTCAATTCCGCCAAGGCGCTTTCCCCGCAGCACTAACACTCCTCTTCTTGTTTTCCCCAGCAGCACTGACACTCCTCTTCTTCATCTTCTTCTTCTTGACGACCGACATCTTCTCTTTTTTCCGCTCAATCACCACGCTCCCATCCGAATAATCAATAAAGAATTTCAGCTCCAAATACTCTTCGGAATTCTCGATGGGCTCTCTCACTGTCTTATTTTCCTGGAGCACTTTATTGCTCGCCGTCGCATAGTCCAGGGCTGTGAAGGTGAAAGCACCGGAGATTGTGCACTTTTTGAAGGTTTTCGATTCTGTTAGCTTCTGAAAAAATAGCAGTTGTACGGAAAAATCACAAAAAAGAGCCCTGCAAATGCGCCGGAGGCGCGCCAAAGTCGTCAAAACACATGGAAAAGTGGTTCCCAGTTGCTACAAGAAAAAACAAAAAGATTTGCCACCAGGTGGAATCGAACCCGGGACCTGTCGGATGAAAGGCAAAAGCGTTAGCCATTGCGCCACACTGCGATCGGAGGGAGGAGGTGCAGAGGGCGTAAAGGTGGCGGGGGAAGAGAACGAGAGACAAGGGGGAGGGGGGGGGGTGGAGCGACGGGCGCCAAAAAATTAGTGTAAGGGTGGCCTAGTGGTTTTATGCAGTGTCAGTTTGAGTAGGTAGGTTGTTGGTTCGATTCCGGCGAGGGTCAAATATTTTTTGCTTTTTTTCCTAGTTATGGTGAGGTGCATGCGATCTTTGAATTTGGCTTTTCTAATCTAAAATTTGCAATTTCGAACCTTAAAATGGCTCTAAAACAAAAAAAATGACTTAAAATGACTCTTTCGATTATAAAATGGCTCTTTTGATGCATTTCGAGCCAAAAAATGTAACAAAACATACCTTAACATGCTCCACAAAATTTCCCACAGATAACCCATCCACCGTGACATCAAACTGTTCAAAGTGTGAAAAGTACTTGATCTCCTTGTGGCTACAATATGCTCCGAGACCGTCTACACTAATCAATTTGATCGTTTTCGCCTGTTTCCATTCTTCTAGCTTTGCTAGTTTGGAATAGGAAACCTCACGGTGACGAGACAGAATATGCAGATTTTCGAGCCCTTTTATTAGAGGTAACAAGGGTAATAAAAGGGTTGGAGCCGGTTTTGGAGCATCGCTGGCGTTGAAAACTAACTTCTGGATTTGAAGTTTTCTGTTTGAGCTTTCCAAGAATTTTTTGAGATTTTCCATCATAATTTTCCAATTTTCACAGGATTTCGAGCTATCAGCGTCATATTCCACGTGCAACTCATCGAATTTGGCACCTGGAGCCCCGAAAATTGTCAGAAATCCATTTAGAACGGTATCCAGGTATTCAGAAGCTTTAACATCTATAGTATCCCGCCATTGATTGATGTAGAAGCGATTTTCCGATTTGTTGAACTGAATCGTCCCAAATGATTCGTCTCTGATGGTGGCGGAGGAAGCATCCCAAGTGAAAAAGGTTTGTTCCCCGAAACCCGGGAGTTCTAGTCGCTGCCCATCGACAATTGATTGGAGTTGAGGGGAAGCTTGACGGAAGAGGATTCTGTGGGGAAATTCGCTTTTTTTGTGATTCAAAAGCTTTAATTTTAGGCTTAAAAACTCTAATTTTCGGCTGAAAACCGCTAATTTTAAGCTCAAAAACTCTCATTTTAGGCTTAAAAATCCCTAATTTTAGACCTAAAAATCTCTAATTTTTAGCCTCAAAATATATAATTTTAGGTTCGAAAACTCGGATTTCAGGCTCAAAAACTCGAATTTTAGGCTGAAAAATTGTCATATTAGGCTCGAAAATCGCTAATTTCGAGCACGAAATCCCTGATTTCTAGCTTCAAAAACTCTAATTTAAGGCAAAAAATCTCTAATTTTATCCCCAAAAACTCTCATTTTTGGCTTAAAAATCTCAAAGTTCAGGCTCAAAAACTTTAATTTTCTGCTTAAAAACTCTAATTTCTAGCTTAAAAAACTCTTATTTCAGGCTTTAAAATATCAAAATTCTGAAAAGAAACTCAAATTTTAGACTCAAAAACTCTAATTTTTGGCTTAAAATCTCTAGTTTTAAGCTCAAAAACAACAATTTTATGCACAAAAACTCACATTTCTAGCCTCAAAAATCTCTAATTTTCGGCACAAAAAAAACTCTAATTTTTGGCTTAAAATCTCTAATTTAGGCTCAAAAACAATAATTTTAAGCACAAAAACTCACATTTCTAGCCTCCAAAATCTCTAATTTTTATGCACAGAATCCCTAATTTTTGGCTCGAAAACTCTAATTTTAGGCTTAAAAATCTCTAATTTCTAGCTTCGAAAAGTCTAATTTTTAGCCAAAAAACCTCCAATTTTGGTCTCAAAACTCGAATCTTAGGCTCAAAAATTTCAATTTTCGGCGCAAAAACCTTCGTTCTATTCCCCAAATTTCGAAAATATAACTTTGCCCTTACCTGTCAACTGGATCCATTTCATCCACAAATTTCCCAATAATTTTCACCGGCAAATCGGAGAACGTGGTTTTTGGTTGCACAGAGCTGAAATTTTTTTCTCAAAGTTTAAAGGCTCATCCCACTTTCTTTCCTCACCTCCTATCAACCTCCAAATCCGTCTCCCCGTGATAAAATCTCCAGTACCAGAACTCGAATTCCGGGTAATCCATGACGTCATCACCCAGTCTCAGACAGAAATTTCTATACGAATAGAGGATTGGGATGTCCTTATCCAACGTTTCATATTGGACACAAATTCGAAGGTAGGTCGGGTTGGCCTTGAGAAAATCCAACGTTGTTTGTGTTTTTTGCATTGAAAACCTGAAATTATACCTTGCAAATGCGCCGGAGGTGCGTGGAATTGTTAGAAACCGAAAGAAAGTCATCAGAGCAAAAAAACAAAAAAAAAAACAAAAAGATTTGGCACCGGGTGGAATCGAACCCCGGACCTGTCTGATGAAGGGCAAAAGCGTTAGCCATTGCGCCACACTGCAGTCGAAGGTAAAAGGTGCAGAGGGCGTAGATGAAAGGGGGGGGAGGGCGCCAGAGAAAGAAGGGGGAGACTGGCGCCAAGGGTTCAGTGGAAATGGTGTGTAAGGGTGGCCTAGTGGTTCTAGGGTGTTTCAGTTCGAGTAGAAACGTTGCAGGTTCGATTCCGAGTGGGTTCAAATTTCTTTTTCTTTTCTTTGTAACAATGGCAACGTGATTCAGAAACGTTTGCAATCAATCTTGAGCCCGAATTGAATTTTTTTGCTGGAAATTTTTTTTTGCCCCGAACTGAGATTTTCAAGGCTTGAGCCCCGAATTCAGAATTTCTAGGGCTAAAGTTAGAAGAAAATGAGTGAAGCGGAGAGGAAAAGAGCGTATTTAGAGTGAAGAGGGGGCACCCCCGTGAGACCCAAAATCAATGAGATGAAGTGTCTCAGGTAAACACATGATCATTTATAAGGTCTAATGAGACAGGGAAGGTTCTCATGTGAGTCGGTTCCCATGGTTACGCCCCCCCCCCCCTCCCTTTCTCTCTCTCTCTCTTTCTTCTTTCTCTCGTCAACTGGGCCCTATTCACCTAGAAACATGGTGTGCTGTGTGGTGCAGTGGCTAACACTTTTGGTTTTGGCCAGACAGGCCTGGGGTTCGATTCCACTCAGTGACTGATTTTTTTGTTTTTTCTTCTTTCAGTTTCCATTTCTTTTGAATGTCATGGCGCGCCTCCGGTGCATTCGCAGGGCTCTTTTTTGTATTTACTAGTTCTTCTCGACACCCGTTCAATTGCTATTCTTTTTAGAAGATGACCGTACCCAAAAATGGCACAAACTCCCAATTTTTGGCTAAAAACCCTTATTTCTAGACTCAGAACAAGCTTGCTAAAAAAAATTGTGTTCCAAGGCTCAAAACCAAGCGTTTTGGCTGATAAAAAAAAGTCGATTTTCAGCTTTTTTTCCGATCATAGTACAATTTTTATTCTCTTTTCGTTCCCAACAGGGTTGTGCAAAAAATGACATCCGAAAAAAAAATCGAAAATTTTTTTTCGGAATTTTGGGTCCGAAAAAAACCGAAAAAATCGAAAAGAAATCGAAAAAAAATTTCAAAAATCGGCCAAAAAAATTTCATTTTTTAGAATTTTTGCCAGTAAATTATCAATTTCTCGATAAAAATTTCAGATTCCGAAAAAATTTTTCGAGAATTTTTCGCCGAAAATTATTTTCTAAAATGTACGAAAAACTGAAATTTCCTTTCGCACAACCTTGGTCCCCAACAACTTTTCAGTTTTTCCACCATCACTACTACTACTACTGATAACAGCTGTTCCCCTCTCTATCTGTTTGTGATCAAAAACTGGTCAAGGTGTGTTGCACTTTGTTTTTGAATTTCTCTCTCCTATCTATCTTTTCCTATACACACACAGACACAGAGAATGATCATTTTCTCATTTATCAGAGCGAAGAAATTGGTGGAAATTGGAAGAGAATCAGAGGAAAATTGGAAGAAAAATACGGAAAATTCTCTAGTGTGAACGTACCTTGTGTTACGTTTTGGGGGTATTTTGGGGGACCATTGCAGAATCATTTGATGCTCCAGGATCCTTGGATTGTGAACTATGGATTTTGTAGCAAGGAGTGGTCTAGGAACCCAAAAATCAGGAATTGCAGGTCTAGGGAAGAATAGAATTCAGACGGCTAGAGTGTCTAGCTGTCTGCGTCTCTCTCACCCTCTCGCTTCGAAAAGGGCGCAGACAGTCAGACTCTCTAGCCGTCTGCGTCTCTTGGTCATCAAAACCTGATGGCCTAGGATCCCGGGTTTCTAGGCCATTTTTCAGAGGTTTCTAGGCCATTTTTAGGGGTTTCAAGGCCATTTTTCAGGGGTTTCTAGGCCATTCTTTAGTGGTCTCTAGGCCATTTTTCAGGGCTTTCTAGGCCATTTTTTAGGGTTTTCAAGGTCATTTTTTTAGAGGTTTCTAGGCCATTTTTCAGGGGTTTCTAGGCCATTTTTCATGGGTTTCTAGGCCATTTTTAGAGGTTTCAAGTCCTTTTTTTAGGGGTTTTTATACTGTTTTTCTGGGATTTTTCAGTGAATTTTCAGAGTTTTCTAGACCAATTTTTGAGAGTTTTCCCGTAACCCCTGAAACAAGTAGAACCTTTTTTTCAAAAAAAAAAAGGAACTTGATAACAATTCGTACTCTGGTTCTTCTTATCACCTCCTCCAAGCGACCATACTGATCAATTTTCTCTCTCCTTATTTTTCTCCTCCTATCCGTTTTGCCAATTGGCATGCAATGTGCAAAACACGTGGTTCTGTGATCTGTAGATTATCCTGTTAGGGGATGTGTCTGGATATTACAGTAACTGGAACTACAGTAATCCTACAGTAATCTAGGAGGACAGAAGGGCATCCGGACAGATAGCCAGTCATTAGGACAGACAGACAGACATCCGGACAGACATTTAGACAGACAGACAGGCAGACAAGCAGACAGACATACATCAGGACAGACAGACAGACAGGCACACACAGACATCAGGACAGACAGCCGTCTGACAGACCGACTGGCTTTCTGGTAGGTAGATAGGCAGGCGACAGTTGGATATCCGGACACACACTCGTACACATAGACAGACAGACAAGCAGATAAGCAGACATTCGGACAGACAGACAGATATACAGATAGGCAGACAGACAGATAGACAGATAGACAGACGGACGGACAAACATCAGGATAGACAGACATCCGAACAGACAGACAGACAGCCCTTTATGTTTTTACACAGTCTATTCGAATTTTTGAGTCAAAATAAAGGGATTTTTAACAAAAAACTTGGGGTTCTCAAGCCAAAATTTAGGTATTTTGAGTTTGAAAATGGATTTTTGAACTCAATTTTCAGAAAAACAGACAGACAGACAGACATACAGACAGACAAAACTAAATATTTCAAGCCAAAAAAATAGGTGTTGTCGTTCAAAAATTTACATTTTTTTCACTGAAATTTCATCAAACTGTTTTCATGCTCACTATAACCCTGGAGCACAAAATTTGGAAATATTTTTTGAATTTTTCAAAATTCGCGGTAATTTTCTGGGCCGAGCGGGCCTACGAGCCGGGCCGGGCCTTGGAAATCCGGTGCGAAGGCCGGGCCAGGCTTGTCACAAGTATGGATTAAACTAGCTATTTCAAGCCGAAAAAATATATTTTGACAGTCTAAAATTAGGTATTCTTGAACCAAAAATTAGAGTCTTTCACCTAAAATTTAGTTTTTTTTAGACCTTAGACCCTTCTGTTCATTGTTTTTCTTCAGTTTTTTTTCGTTTTTTGACCCATTTCTTTCCATTTTTCGACCATAAGTCAGTCTAGCTTCTCAGTGTTTAGCTGATCACATGTCACCTGATACCCGTCATTGTACAGACTCCATCTTCATTTGCATGTCTATGGAGGGTTGTCTGTCTGATTTTTTTTTTGAATAGACTCTTTCGATTGTAATGGTATGAATACAGACCAAAAGCCAGCCACACTGTATTGATGATCACAGACAACAGATCATCTGATCACTAGATCCTGCTAAACTCTCTATCCAACCGATAGATTGATAGAAAACGTATAATGATCGGTGGTCTGTGATATCAGATATATTGATGCGGAAGGTAGAAGTAAAAGGGTGAAGGAACAGGGAAAAATCTAGAATATGGCTGAAAATTTATTTCCTGAAATCTGAAAATTGAGCTTTTTTCAGTTATAGAACCAAAATTCCAGAAAAATCCGAGAAAAAAATCTAGGTTTACAGTCATTTTCGTAAATTTTTCTGGATTTTCAGACAATTTTTTTTCTGGATTTTCAAACGTTTTTTTCCTGGATTTTTGTACATTTTTTTTCTTGGGTTTTCAGAGGTTTTTTTTTGGGTTTTCAGATTTTTTTCACAGATTTTCATACACGTTTTGCCGGATTTTCAGATTTTTTTTTCCATTTTCAGACGTTTTTTTTCCATTTTCAGACGTTTTTTTTCAGATTCATGCTTTCCCACTTCAAGAATTCTCTAATTCCCTCACAACCTTATGATGTTATGATGTTACGTTCCGTAACCTTGTAAATGGATATCGACCTTCTTGGCTGAAAACTGACGTCTTGGCCATGTCTGAAAAATATTTTTTTTGTTTGAAAATCATGAAAAACAAAGAAAATTTATCAGAACTCCCAGACACAAAAGATCATTAGTCGATGCTGTCAATTGTACCGTAATCCATTTTTGATCTACCCAAAAATGTTTTTAAAAATCTAAATTTTCCGGTCGAGAAACTATCAAAAAATGACAAAGTGACAACACGAAAACTAGCGTAGCTCAGTTAGTTTTTCTCCGATAACCATGAAAATTATATCATTGAGTTCAGGTTGTCAAAGCTTTTTTTTGGCAAAACATTTTTCAGAAAAAATTTCGAAAAAACCATACCTGTCCGAATTGGGCCCGGCCCGGCGCTGAAAAATTAACCATTTTTCGAAATTTTTTTCCAAAATTTCAGTTTTTTTTTTCAATCAAAATTTAGGAATTTGTTGATCATTTTTAGTTGGAATATGTTTCATAACCAAAAAACGCCGTTTAAACAGAAATGAGTGGAATTCACAGCGAAAATTCAATTTTGTAAAAAGGCACGAAAAAATTTTTTTGAAGCCGCGCCGGACCCATGAAAATTCCGAAACGTGCCCGCCCGGCCCGCGACCAGTATGGAAAAAAAGGTTTTCTAGTTGTATGTTTTTATGTTTTCACCACCTTTTCACCCATTTTACATTGGAAAAAAATTTTAAAAAAAATTTCGAACATTTTTTTTTTGCATAGCCCTGAATCACAAACCTGACACCTACTCACAAACCTGACATTAGAAACAACATGAAGCAAAATTTCAAGAATTCTAAAAACAAAAAAATACAAAAACTCGGATATTCCAGATCAGGGGTGTGCGAAAAATTTTCGAAAAATTTATTTTTTTCGGATTTTCGGTCATTTTCAGAAAATTTTCTCGCCATTTGCAACCGGAAAAAATACTCCGAGTAAAACATGTTTGTACCGCCTTTTCACCCATTTCTCGTTGAAAAAAAGAAAAAATTCGGAAAAAAATCGAAAAATCCCGAAAAATCATTTTTTTTTACTTTTTTTCGCCCTATAAAATTCGAAAAAAGTAGTTACTCGAATTTTTTCGGACAAAAAATTTCGAAAAAAAATTTTTCCGATTTTTTCGGAATTTTTTTTCACACAACCCTGTTCACGATTGAAAATGTATGAAACTCAAATTTCCGGAATTAACAATATCGGAAACAGAAATTATTTTCTTCCAATAATGTTTGTTCTCTCTGAAGAACTGTTCATCTACCCTAAACCAGCTGTCTCCCCCCATCCGTCCTTCGAACTACTAAACAGAAACCAATTGGCCCCCAAAGGCATCCATAGAACGATCAACATGTGAGGAGTATAAGAGGAGAAATGGGGAATTGAGTGAGCAGAGAACACCTCCTCCCTTCTTCTTCTCTCAAATGATCCCCCTTCTTTCGTCTTGTTGGTTGGTCAGTGTCACATGTGGAGAGAGAGTATAAATGTGTTTGTAAGAAAAAATAAATGTTTGTTGGTGGTGATGGAGATGTTGGGTGTGCTTTGGCGGGACACAGAGTGTGATA